CAAAAGCGAAAATGTTTGGCTGCAGCTTGTTTCTGTGGGCCAAGGGCTGTGACCTGGAATGCAGGCCAGAAGGATACCGGAAAGCAGTGCTGGGGCACAAAGTGTGCTTTATCCAGTTACTACAGGGAGGTCCACCACTGTCACTGCTGCTGCCTTCCTTGCTGGAGACCAGTCAAGGGGATGCAATCCAAAATCTTCTAAAGTTCTCCTCCAGTGCCTACCTTCTTGCAATTATCTTTATGTTTGTGCTCTTTGCAAGGAATTTGGGTTTGGAGAAAATGCAAAACACATCAGACCACATCATAATACTCAGAAATATCCCTTATGGTCCTAACTATTGAGCTCTTGTAGGGAGATTTTCACAAAGTCAGTTTTGAAGGCAATGCTCTGTTCTACGTCCCCGGGCAAAATGGTATATGTGTTAGTGAGTCTATACTCCAACTTACAGGAATAATTTTACAGAGGGTTTTTTTTGTGTGTGTGTGTGGTTTTGGTTTTTGTTGGTTGTTGGTTGTTGGTTGTTGGTTGTTGGTTGTTGGTTGTTTTGGTGATTTTGGGGTGGTGTTGTTTTTTTAACTCAAAACCGAAGAGGTGAGCAACAGGGACTAACTTGTAGCCAACAGAAAAGACAGTTGAGCTGACATGTACTGTAAGGGTATAAGTCATCACTAGGACATGAGTAGCATTGCAGCAAAGCACAGCACTCCATTCTCTGCAGTAACTGCGCTGTTACACTGTTAAATATCAGGATCATATGTGGTGGGGGACAAAATTACATGCCTGGTCTGCTGTGTTTTGCAAGGTTTCCTTGCCCATTGGGTTAGGATTTAGATTCTTGCCCCAGATTGTTCCAGTCAGAGATAAAGTGTAGTAGATAACATCTGTCCTGACACTCTAGGCCCCTGGAAAAAGTTGCTTCTGCTCTTAAGCTAAATTCTTGTTTGAAGTCCAGTGATGCCCAAGGAAGTTACCTGCTGGCACTTTATTAGCTGACTTGGTTTGTGCCCCTCTTGTACCTCATATCCCTGCCCTTCATCTCCAGCAGCTAATAGTCTGAAGTGACAAGGTTGTGAATGGGCCAACTACATGTACCTCTTCTGTGGAGAATTTTAAAAAGCTCTCTTAGACTTGTGTGAGAGAGTGATCTGAAATAAGACTCCACTGTCCCTTGTCTCAAAGATTGGTATGAGAAGCTGAGATGTGACTTCACCTACCTTTTCTCTCAGAGATTGGTGGAAGGAGTTGAGGTAAGACTCTTCCACCATCCAGTGTTTGAGGGATGAGTGGGAAAGAGCTGAGATAAGACTCTTCTGTCCATTACCTCAAGGAATGGTGTGAGGAATTGCTGTCCATTATCCCAAGAACTACTCCAGAGACATGTGTGCAGACAGGTGCAGTTGAAGAACTGGCTGCAAGACCAGGGAAACTGGTCCACCAGGAACATGCAATATGTGACATGAAGAATAGAGGTACTCCCCCCAGCTCATTATAAAAGGGGGAAAAGCTAATCACCAAGAGGCACATCACCAGGGAGCCATTAACAGGAGGATGACTCCAGAAGGACACCTCCATGAGGACACTCTCCACTGATGACTACTACGGACTCTGAGGGACACCCTCCATGAGACATCACCATGAGGGCAACTCCATGAGACACACTCCACAGGGTACCTTCAAGGGGACGACTCCAGAATGATGCCTCTACCTCCAACAGATTCTTAGGGGACACTCTGCTCCAATACCGACTACAAACCCTGAAGGACTCCCACCACTGATGATGATGACAATGGATCCCTGGGACACCACTGGATCCACAGTGTGACTTTCTCTCTGCACCCCAAATCCTTGCTTCATTTTTCTACCTTTTTTCCAATCTGTCCTATCGCTGTCCCCTTTATTACAATAATTTCCTTTTTTTGTAGTAACTGTTTTATTAATAAACATACTAATTGATTATGGTACTTGACCTTGTTTGCATCTTAATTTCACTTTTAGGATCACAAACTGAAACAGGATCTGGCACAGGTTTTCTCCAGTCGGACCCTGACAACTTTGTAAAATCATGGATGAGACCATGCAATGTGGAGACATTCTGCACATCAATTCTACAGTGCAACTGCACTCAAACCTAGAGCTTTCTGCAGAGAAAATCCTGTGTCAGTTATTAACCAAGGGAAGTGAGCAGCAAGCATGCTCATAAACAGAGCACAGTGGGTGCTCAAACCGAACCGTGTCAGCAGGGCCTTACTGCTTAAAATCTAGCAGAGTTGTGGCTGCATGGATCTGAAGTTTCCCTTAGGTATGGTATTTACCACTGCATCAAAAACTCTCCTTAGTTTATAAAACTTGGGCCCTACTGAGCCAAGAGGAGCAACAGGATGGCTGGAAGTCCTTCAAGAGGGATCTGTGAGAGCAACCAAAGGCACAACGAACAATTCAGGCCTCCCTTAAGGTGGCATGTGAGTGTGCTATCCTAAAGCATTATCAGCAGGGACAAACGGAGTTAAGGGCAACACTTCAAGTTTTTCATTCCATCAACTCTGAGATCCATCACATTATCCCAGCATGCATGGGAATTTCACCTGGCAGCTCCTGCAACAGTTCTGGTAATGCAGCTGGCTGTTCCTTGTGCACAGACGATCTTGTGCTTCATGATACAGCACAGATGATCAGGCATCTACTCCTCTGAGCTCTGTCCAGCACAAGAGCTGCACAGAAGTGTCACCCTTAAGCCAAGTGTAACACTTCAAGCAGACAGAACACTTGAGTCTTGAGGCAGCTGCTCAGCCTGCTTGTTATGAAGAGCAAACAGTCTCATGGACAGCTAACAAAACACCACATACTTTCTGAAAATTGTGTAAGAGGAACCATGAGCTTTCAGTAAGGACAAGGGCAGGTTTACTGTAATTTCTCTGTTGGAAGTGGTGGTGGGGAATTCCCAACCAATGAAAGATATCCTTTCCAGTTTCCTCTTTTGAGGGGTTTGAATTCCTTATAAATACCCTCTCTGAATCTGACAGCACACAGTACAAGCCTCATCTCCTTTGGCTTTACCCTTCTGCAGTGGTGAGTGATACTCTGAATTTGTGAGGTCCTTGAATTTGTTAGTTAGTATTCTGGAACAGGACTAATGCTTTAGCATGTGGGGTTTCTCTGTATTCATTATAGGAGCAGGAGGGAATGCTAAAATCCAAGTTCCTCATGTCCATCTGCCTCTGTGGCAGAACTGAGCTTGTGGTCATACAGAGGGCATCATTCCTTGGGGTTGGAGGGAGTGGGCTCCTGGGCTAGCCATCAGCACTGGGGCTGTTGCTTGGGCACAGCTATGGGTCTGACGGATGCTGGGGAGCAGTCTCTCAAACGTTCTCCAGAACTCTTCATCTCTCTGTCTCACAATTCTGTGTCAGACTTGGGCCAGGAACCATGAGGCTCTGTGTTTGCTTCGTTCTGCTCTCCATTATTCTCTGTGCAAGTGCTGACTCACCACTAGCCCGAGGTGGACGATTTGTCTGGGATGCACTGGGAGGTAAGCTGCTGTTACCACAGACCTTTCTGTCAGGAACCCCCTGCCTGAGCACAGCTTATTGGTACTTCAATGGACACAGTCCTAGGCGCTGGGAGGACCACAGCTCCACATTAGCAACCCTGCTGTTTTCTGCTGCTGAAGGCCTTGATCATCCCCCACAGGTCCTTTCCATGGGCACACCCCTGTGCAAAGGCCAATGTGGAGAAGTGCTTCTCTGTGTTACTGCTCCTAGGGCCTTTCAGTTCCTGGCTGAAATGATACTTAACTATTTCTGGGATGACACTTTAAAGTCAACATCATGGCTGCTTCTCTGCTTTCCTCAGGGGCACGGGATATGTACAGAGCATACCGGGACATGCGTGAGGCAAATTACAAAGGTGCTGACAAGTATTTCCATGCTCGTGGGAATTATGATGCTGCCAAAAGAGGACCTGGTGGTGCCTGGGCAGCGAGAGTGATCAGGTAATGGAGCGTATTTGTGTCATTAACATGGGTTACTAAGGATCTAGGCATTCCAGTTAGAGTGACATCCTTTTTGACTTGTGCTCAGCTTTTGACCTAGGACAGTGGAGGGGAAGTAGTTAATGTCTGTGCAGCCTGTCTATAGGAATGGTGTCTCTCCTTCACATGAGTGTGAGCCTTTCTTCTTGTCCTCCTGAGACACCTTACCTCTGTGTTTCTGGTGATAAGGAACTCTTTCCTTGTGTCCCTGCTCATGGCAGGGGGTTGGAACTAGGTGATGTTTAAGGTTCCTTCCAACCCAAACTGTTCTGTGGTAACAGTTACGGATGCCACTGTGGTCCTCAGACAAGGACTGAATATGTGCTTGATCTCACTTTGAGAAGCACTGTGGAAAAGCTAGTTTTGCATGAGTGAGGAAATCAAGACAGAGTGTGGTTACATACTGGCTGGTTCACATGGCCTTTTTTCTTCCTGCTAGTGATGCCCGGGAAAAATGGCAAAGCGATGTGAGTGGCAGAGGTGCAGAAGACACCCGAGCTGACCAAGAGGCCAATCGGTGGGGTAGAAACGGCGGCGATCCCAACCGCTACAGACCTGCCGGCCTTCCCAGCAAATACTAACGCCAGCCCGACAGAGCCCCTCTGCTTCCCTGTTACACCTCTTCTCTGCACCCAAATAAAGAGTTTCTCTTGCAAACTGTCCCCCCTCGCTGCTGCCTTACCTTGTGGCGTGTGGGGACCCTCGGGTCCTCGCCCTGGCTTCGAGGGAACCAGGGTAACTGTCACTCTGTGGGACGGTGTCAGGACATCACGGTGGCCACCGGCGCTGCCGAGGCGCGGCGGTGTCCCTCGGCACTTCGGCTGCTCTGGGGGCACGGGAGCTGCTCTCCAGCGGCGAGCGGGTTCCGCCGTCACGAGCGGGGCTCGGCCGCGGAGCGCTGAGGGCTCCTGGCGGCCTGCGGTGAACGCTGGCCCGTGGCCTCCCGGCGTCCCAGCCCGGCAGGGGGCGCTGTGGTGTGCCGCCCAGGCGCCGCTCTCGCCGCGGACGCCTCGTTGGCGCCGGAGAGGCCGCCGTGGTGGTGCTGTGGTGTGCAGCCATGAACCGTAACCCCTCGCCACCTTCCAGCGAGGTGGAAGAGGAGGAGGACGCGGTGGGAAACACGGTGTACAGCAAACACTGGCTGTTCAGCATCCTCACCCGCCTCATCGAGGTGCGAGTCCGGAGGGGTGGGGGCGCCGTGAGGGAAGAGGGCGGCGGGCCCGGTAGCGGTGAGCGTCTCGCGGGTGAGGTGCGGCTGTTACCATGTCCATGGGGATATACACAAGTAGGCTTCCTGCTTGTGTGTTTAGGTTTTGATTATGATTTTTATACTGTGACTGAAGCTTCAGGTCGTTGTTAGTGATCCGTGGCGTTTCTCGGTCGTTGCGTACATACTGCCATAACTTCAATGCACACACCCCCTCTCACCGTTTTCTCTCAGGTCATTAGCCCTGAGAAGACGGAGCCCATCGTGAATCCCGAGGGAATCCAGGTGGAGCTGGACGAGGAGATGGAGAATGACATTTGTAAAGTGTGGGACATGTCGATGGATGAGGTAGGAGCGATACACGGAAGCCAGACCTTGACGGTGGTTCATAGCTGTGGGTGGCTTCTGCCCTGTGTGTTCAGAGCCCTTCTGAAAGTGGGAGAAGGCACAGAATTAAACAGACTCGACCAGCTTTCTGATTATTCTGTTTTGGCTGATAGTGTGCTGTGAGTTATTAGGCAGTGCAAGTGTGCTGAACTGGCATCAAACACTCTCATCACAAAGGCTGCTTTACAAGATGAGCAAGTATGCTGTGTACATTCTTAAACTCAGCACTAGTTTTCAGAAGCAGGCCTTCTGTTGTGTACTAGCTGTTGGGGCCCACGCTGCTGTTTGAGGATGTAAAGCCTATATATGTTTGAATATAAAAGAAACAAGGTGGTCTGTCCCATGTTTCCTCCAGGTGTCTAATGGATCCTGCGGTGCTGTTGTTTAGGGTCAGCTGTCTTAAATGGGGCCTTATGCACACCTGTTGATGTTCTACAGAAAATCATGTTCAGGATTTGAGCCAAAGCTCAGTGTTACTAGAAAACAGCAGCTTAGCTGTAGCAAGAATTAACTCAGGTCCATAGCCTGTGTCTTCATTGGTTTGATTATAGAGATAATATTGAGGCCATCTCTAAATAGGTATATTTTTCCCCCTAGTGATTGTAATGCATCTTGCTGGTAAGCATAGTTTTCTCTGAATGACAAGGAACCTTTTAAAGTTTAGCCAGAGACTTGCAGTGGCAATGTAACATAACTTTTTGGTATTTTTTCTCAACATTCTCAGATGCTAGATCCAGTTCTTGAGTAAGAGATATACATACATTTGTAATTATGATTTTATTTCCTAGCTCTTTGGATATCATAGAATCATAGAATAGTTAGGGTTGGAAAGGACCTTAAGATCATCAAGTTCCAACCCCCCTGCCATGGGCAGGGACACCTCACTCTAAACCATACCACCCAAGGCCTCGTCCAACCTGGCCTTGAACACTACCAGAGATGGAGCATTCACAACCTCCCTGGGCGACCTATTCCAGTGCCTCACCATCCTAACAGGAAAGAATTTCCTCCTTGTATCCAATCTCAACTTCCCCTGTTTAAGTTTTAACCCATTACCCCTTGTCCTGTCACTACAGTCCCTAATGAAGAGTCTCTCCCCAGCATCCTTATAGGCCCCCTTCAGATACTGGAAGGCTGCTATGAGGTCTCCATGCAGCCTTCTCTTCTCCAGGCTGAACAGCCCCAACTTTCTCAGCCGATCTTCATACGGGAGGTGCTCCAGTCCCCTGATCATTCTCGTGGCCCTCCTATGGACTTGTTCCAACAGTTCCATGTCCTTTTTATGTTGAGGACACCAGAACTGCACACAATACTCCAAGCGAGGTCTCACAAGAGCAGAATAAAGGGGCAGGATCACCTCCTTTGACCTGCTGGTCACACTCCTTTTGATGTAGCCCAGGATACGGTGGAAAATGTGTCCTTTGCTCACAAGTAGAGAACTAATCTTGTGTTTTAATATGGTAAAATGCGAAGCAGTTTTTTCTATGGTCTGATCAAGTATTAATGGTAATCCCTACTCTGGTATCTTTTTGTATGTCTGCATCATGTCACTGTCTGAAAACATGATGTTTGCTGAATTCTGAGTTGGTGGCTCTGGCCCTGTGTTGAGACAGAGAGCAAAAGACACTAAATGTGGCTTTTTGGCCCACTGTATAGCAAATTACTGGCACTCTGAATCATCACAGAAGCTGGCTGATCTTGTTTCGTTGAGAAGCAAGGATTATTGGTATTAACTGTTGGGAAAGAACTGATCTCTTTTAGCGAGTTTGACATCTCTTTGATCCAGGCCTTGTGCTGTGAGAAAAGGTTTGATTTTGCATTTTGAAAATGCAGGAGTCTACCTTTTCCTTCACTTTCTCCACAGGATGTCGCTTTATTTCTTCAGGAGTTCAATGCCCCAGATATATTCATGGGAATTTTTGCCAAGTCAAAATGCCCTCGCCTTACTGTAAGTATGGTCTGTCAAAAAGCTGTCACACATTAATAGCAGTAGTAGATAGCTGTATACATGCATTTGCACATAGCTCCCTCCTTCTCTCACTGCATGCTTGGATACCTTAGATGAGCAAGAAGAAAATGCAAAATCTGATTTTAAAATTCTGTTTTTCAGTATTTTTAATAGACTCTAATCAGTAAGTATTTCAGTGATGCTGAAGCTAATATATGTCATTATGATGGATTAAGTTCATGAAACCTGGTTATAAGGTTTGTTATAAAACCCAGGAAAGGTTGCCCTTTTATTTCCTCATTACTTGTTTCAAGATTACTGAACAGAAATGGTCATGAATGTTTAGTCAGACATACAAAAATATGGTGGATTGACTGTGGGTGGACACCAGGTGCCCACCAAAGCTGCTTTATCACTCTCCTCCTCAGCTGGACAGAGGGAAAAAAATATGGTAAAAAGGTTCATGAATTGATATAAGGTCAGGGAGATCACTCAGCAGTTACTGTCACAGGCAAGACAAGACTCAGAGAAATTAGTTTAATTTATTATCAACCAAATCAGAGTTAAGATAATGAGAAGTAAATCCAAATCCTAAAACACCTTCCTCCACCCCTACCTTCTTCCTGGGCTTCACTTTACTCCTGGTTTCTCTCCCTGCTCCCACCCCGAGCAGTGAAGGTGGATGAGAATAGGGGTTGCAGCCAGTTCATCACACATTTCTGCCATCACTCCTTTCTTCTCACTCTCTTCCTGTGCTCCAGCATGCGCTCACTCCCATGGAAGACAGTTCTCCATGAACTTCTCCGACATGAGTCCTTCTCATGGGCTGCAGTTCTTCGCAAACTGCTCCAGCATGGGCTCTTCCATGGGGTGCAGTTCTTCAGGAGCAGACTGTTCCAGCATAGGTCATACATGGGGTCAGAAGTCCTGCCAGGAAACCTGCCCCAGTGTGGGCTCTCCACTGGGTTACAGCCTCCTTTGGGCATCCCCCTGTTGTGGCCTACGGTCCTCCATGGTCTACAGGTGGATATCTGCTCCACCATTCACCTCCATGGGCTGCGGGGGAACAGCCTGCCTTACCATGGTCTCCACCACAGATGACAGTGGGATCTCTGCTTCAGCAACTGGAGCACTTCTCTATTGCTTTAATGATAGCAATGCCAGGTTAGCTTCAAAACAATAGGCATAGAATATGCAAGCAAAATTGATTTCAAGATATATTTGCTTTTATGGAACACCTTAACACCTAAATATGTGAGTAGTACCTGTCATGAGTATATTTTATGCCAGTCTAATGGCATCTTGTAGAAAAATCTGTACCATCTTGGAATCAGTGCATCAAAAGAGCTTGGAAATTAAACTGGAAAATGTCTTTGAATCTCTCTTACCTTTGTCTTACGGTCGTGGAAATAAAATCGTGAACTATGTTGCAGTTGCCTCACTATACTGTGTTTTGACTTTTCAGGAAATCTGTGTGGGAATATTAGGAAATATGGCCTGTTTCCAAGACATATGCATGTCCATTAGTAAAGATGAGAATCTTGGGTAAGTGTGTATGTGCTATATATATGCATGGTGCTGCTTTTCTGGACTCAGAATCGTGAAATATATGTTAAAGAGCTAAATTTGCCTGCCATCCCTCGTGTTTATTCACACCTTTTTGGCTGACCATGTTTGTGTAGGAAGTGCCCAGGGAAGTGAAGGAAAGTGAAGGGAAAAAAGGATACAGACCACTTTTGTTTGTTTGTTTTTAATCAACAGTGAAGTTGAATCTTTAATTTCTAAGTTGGGCAATCTTGAAATACTGGAAACATGTGCACAGTCAGGAAAAGCTGGGTTTAACCTCAGAACGTGACTTCAGCTATGAAATTCACCTTTTTGTAATCTTTTTTAAACACAAATACATTTTATTAACTTTATCTTGTGTTTTCTCTTTAAAGCCAGGTGTTACTGCAACGTCTGTGTGACACAGACTCCCCAACTCTTCTGGAAACAAGCAGGTAGGACATCTCAGAACTTGATGTATCATTAGTGTAGTCCTGCCATGTTCTGAGGCCTGGGAAGAAAACTGACAATATTTCTGTCACATCGTTCTCATTATTTTGGATTTGCACTTGTACAGCTAAAATGAATGAATTGGCTTCTAATTTGTTAAGTGGGCAATTCTTGTCTAGGTTGTTGTTAACTTGCCTATCCCAGCCTGAGGTGGCCAATATCTGGGTTGAGAGAATCCGAGAGAATCCTTCTGTGTATGACTGTGTGTGCTTTATCATGTCCAGCTCTACAAACGGTAAGTTGCCAAAACAAGCCAGGAATTAGTGGGTGTTTGCAGAAAAAAACCCCAAACCCAAACAAACCACCAGAGTGTGCAGTTTCAAAGCCAGATTTTCAACTGGGAGTACAGAATTTCAAGTAAAGCTCATGAATTTAAAGAATACCAAAATAAACTTGTCCTGCCTTTGTAGCTTCACAGATATACCTAAAACCAACCGGGGGAAAAAAAAATAGAGGAAAAAAGGCTCTGTGAGGGAATCAAAATAAGTCTCATAGAAGAAATTGCTGTTTGTCACAGTAAAGGAAAGGACATTGTCCTCATTCAGGAATATGCAGATGTCATTTCTGAGCTCGAAAAAGACCTTATTTAAATTTCTTTTTCTTTTTTCTTTTCCAAATCAATTATGTATGTATGTGTATATATATGTGGAGATAGATATATATGGAAACATATATACGGAATATGAACTGGAAAAATGATTCACTTATCCTGAATGGTGGCTGAGTACTGCACAGGCTTTGGTACACAAATCTGTTGTAGCAAAAATTTAGCAAAAAAACCATTAAGCACCTAATAATGGAAATATTTTGAATAGCATTTATGTTTTGCATCCAACTCCATTTTAACAGCAGTTATTATTTGTCTAAGAATCCTAATAGTTTATTCTTTTCAGACTTTTCTTTTTCATGAGAATGCTCAGGAATCCTGCTCCATCCAATTGCAATCACAGACCTACTTAAGTAAAATGCAAATTGGCAGGTGTAAGGTTAGCAGAAAACTGCATATTTCCAGGCATATCTTGGAAAGTTTTACTTCCGTAGCAGAAGTTACGACTTTTCAGGAATGTGATTTTATTTTGCAGAATAAAGTTCCTGCTTAATAAATGGCATGATAAAGAAGTCACTGCACTTTCCGACAGTCTCTATTTATCAGGCTGTTCACCTGATCTATGCTACAAAAAAGAGTAACAATCTTTAGTAGGCCATGAAAGAAACTAATATATTTCAGCTGAATTTACTCTGAATACTTTAATATATTAGAACTTTGAAAGCTAATTTTTGCTTTTTATTTTCAGTCTCGTTGAAATTTTTACATTCTCTCTTGTGCAGTTGAATTGCTGGTAAAAGTAGGAGAAGTGGTGGACAAACTGTTTGATCTAGATGAGGAGCTAATGTTGAACTGGATTAAAAATGGCACTTGTCCGTCGGTGGGACCATCTGTAGATGATTCCCCTGAAGAACTTCCAGATTTTAAGATTGTGCCTTGTATACTTGAAGCAGCCAAACAAGTCCGGTATGTGAGATTTCTTTACGGTTTTGTGGCTGAGGAGACTCCTTATAACCTTGTTAAGGCCTGTGTGTGAATTCTTGATTTCATTGGGAGCTGCATAGTGTGACAGGTCACTAGAATACCTTTTCCTGTACTTACAGTTTGAAGTGAATCAACTAGTTTTGTTAGCAAAGAGAATGGCAGTGATTGCTGATAGTCTTCTGTGTGTCCAAAACACACAGAATATATAATCTTTCTTTGTTTTTTTGTTTGTTCTGTGTAGATCAGATAATCCGGAAGGACTTGATGTTTATATGCATATTTTGCAGCTCCTGACCACAGTGGATGAGGGTATTCAGGCAATTGGTAAGACACTTGAATTGCTACATATGATGGGACCAAGAATGGCAGTGACTTCTAGTTCATCAGATATTTGATGGGTAGAAAAATTATTTATGTACCTAGATTAAATTTGTTGGGTTGGTGGGTTCTTTTTCTTTCTTCCTCAAGTGCAGGTTCCTGATGGAGGAAAAGAGACTTGGAGTTTGCTGTATGACCTCGTTTGCCATGACCTTTGCCAGCCAGATGATCCACCGATCGTTGTGCAGGAGCAGAAGACTGTATTGGCCTCTATTTTGTCTGTACTTTCTGCTATGTTTGCTTCACAGACAGAACAAGAATACACCAAGATGAGGAAAAGCAAGTTGTGCTTTTTCTTTCTGGGTTTGGGGGTTTGGTTTAGGGTTATTTTTCAGTTGTTTTCGGAATTGACTCTTATGTGGGGTGAAGGGTGATTAATTTATTACTAGAGATCAGTTCAGAACACAGAATTCTATTACATTTTTTAATACAGTAAGATTCTTTGCTGGTAACTCTAAAAATCACAGCTAGCTCAAAGTTTGGTTACTGGATCTGTCTGAAGAGTTATAGTAATAGACTCTACAGATACTGTTCGGTTTTCTCCATTGGATAAATTAATGAAAGTTGGAGAATTCCTCTTTCATGAAATCTAAGCGCTTTGTAGTGTTTTTATTTTACTATTATTTTTTTTTAGCAGAGGGAGATTCTGCACTTAAGTCCATCTTTATCACTTGTTACTTTTCAGTACTTTGTCAGGTCTTTAAAATTGGAAGCTACTTTGGGAATGGGAATCAGGGTCATCTGCAGGAGAAAGACATTGGCAGTTTGGTTTATCAGACAGAATTACCTGGATGCAAATTTAACATTCTAGCCTCAGAGTTACTACTGGAAACATTTTCCTTCTCATATTCCTTACCATTGGAATATGTTTTATAGATAAAGGTTAGTTCACATTAAAAATGGTTTGGATTTTCTGCTACATTTCTGCTTGCTTCTTTAAAAAGTCTTTGAGTGATAATACACAACAATGTCCGTATACACGTTTCTTTACCTTTTGTATAAAATCTGGTGGTGTGTTTCAAAATTTTAATGCCTTGAAAAGATTGGAAAAATTTTCAGTGTTAAGCTTCCATTTTCTTGTTACTTTATATTAGATATGCCTCTGATTGGCAGCTTGATTCGTATCTTACAATACATGGAGGGCTGTGGGAAGAGAGCTGGCGAGAGCTCAAAGGAGTCTGAAGAAGAAGAGACTGGAACAGCTGATGTAAATGACAAAGATTTCCATTTAAAAATTTTGAAGGATATTTGCTGTGAATTACTTTCCAATATGCTTCAAGAATTGACCAAGGTAAGGATAAACAAATTCTGAGAGGGATTTCTGGAGGGTAGGTAAGAAAAGAGACAATACTATCAATGTGAATATTTTTCTGTGCAAGTGAAGTTGCATACTGAAAATTCATTAGGAAGTTAATCAGAAGGTGGGTAGCACAATGTGTGTTAGATGGCAGGGATACACAGGCTTTCTGAGATGTGTGCCTTTAGGTTCAAGACTTTGTGTGATAAATTCTGTAGGTGTATGTTGCCCTTCTGTTTGAGTGAAAGTCAATTTATTTAAGAAAAGAATCTGAATACGAAGAAGAATATGTAAATTTGTGTTCTCCACTAGACTTTTTTATTATGGGAGCATTCAGATTAAGAGTCTTACGATGTGTGAGCGTTCACACCTTTTGTATCTGCTGTGGCTGATATTCTCCAGGAGCTCTTAAGTTCTGGTGGTTTTACTCCTTTTTGAGAACAAAGCACGTACTGTAGAGACTGTGTGCACCATTTTGAGTTTATTCTTTCACAGCTGTTCATGACATGCTAGTTTTAATTCTTATTTTATTTTCCAGGAAAATACTTTAGAAGGACTACACCAGGGACATTTGAATGAGCAGATATGTTCCTGTGCATTTCAGAACCTCTTACCTCTGTATTTTGCATCAGTGAGTATGTGACAAGGACTTTAACATAAGTGAAAAAATACTACTTGGGTGGCAAGATCTTTCAGAACAGATGTGGGAGTAGGACAGACTTGCTTGGACACAGATAATATGCCATTCTAGAGTCTTACCCTCTCTGTCTCTTCTGGCTTACTTCAGCCAGAGCTTTGTCTAGATCATCAGCTGATGTAAGTGTAAACTGTGCTGAAATGAATGGATAACTGAAATTTATGCTAGCTGAAAATTTGTCCTGTATATCTTTATAGAATAATTATTCTAAGTATTTTTTATAGGGAGGTTTTCTTTGTGTACTTCTAAACAATAAGAGTTTGGGGAAGGCAGTAATATTTCAAAGTTTAGAACAACTGAAATTCCACTGTTATTTGCAGTGGCTGCTGGTGGCTGCTGTTGGTGGGAAGGTACAGAAATAGAAAGATCGCCTATACCAAGTGTAATAATTTTGTGTCCCATACAAGTTATTTTTTTGTCTTCCCTTTCTCCTTCCCTTTTTGTGTTTGCAATTTATTTCCAGGTGGAGAGTTTCCTTGAAGTTCTGCGTGAGGCTGATCAGACACTTGCTGATAATCTAGAAAAACGTTTCCCAAGCCTGAAGGTTCACTCCTAAGAACGTACAGGAAATGTTTTCCTTCTTTGGAATGAAGATTTTAACTGTTTTATTACAGTGTGTCAGAAATCAAGTTTTCAGTAAATGCAGAAGAATGAGGCAACTTCCTTAGCCACAGGTGGCTTTTAAGAAGTCTTCCAGGTAGCCCTGATTAACCTAGGGTTGATCTGTTCTTTATAGGGAAGGAAACAACTGTAAATTAAATTCTGTATCTTCCATCCTGTTTGCTCTGGTGGTGAGAGACTTGGTTTCTGATTGCTCTTCTGCAGCATAGGTTTATTTTGTTTTGGGTTTTTTTTTGATAGCTTTTGATTCTATGATTTTCAACTTAAATTGAAACAGCAACATGAATGAACTGAATGAACATGAATGAACACAAATGAACTGAACTGAGTTCACATTTGTAATGTGATGCTGTTTTTTTTTAAGTTGCTGTTGGCAGAAGGGTTGATAGGAAATCCCAGATGTCCTCTGCTTAAGGGTCTTCAAGCACCTGATAAAAACAAGAGTTAAATTACACAGAATTATTTGCATTTTCCTTTTTTTTTTTTTCTTTAGTCTTACAGATCATATCAGCACCTTGAGCAAGTATTCTATTAGAAATGTTTCATCCTGGTCCTTTAAGGTCTTCACACTTCTTACACTAAAACCTCTTCCATAGTGCAGCTCTGGGTTGTGGCATCTAGGTCCTGTGCAGTTTAAAGGACTTGAGAATATGGTTACCAGGGGTCTGTGCTGCAGCTTCCAACCATTGCAGCCAGTTATCTAGAATTAGACTTGTAGGTCAGGTTTGGTTTTAACCTGTGGCGTATTTGCAAGCTTCCTGCTTTTTTAAAGCAGTCTGCACTTCAGTTTAAGGGGAGATGAAGGTGTTAGGTCCCTTGCAGTAAAGCCTATCTACATTTTTCTAAAAATCTCACTTTTAATTATATTCTGTTTAACTGTGGTACATTTTTAGATCGCATGCCTGCATGCAGTACAACTAACATTTTCTGTGTCTGAAAAGACGGTACAGTAACACATCAGCTTCACCGATTCTATAAATGAAAATGGGAAACAGTTGGTCTTTATAAGGCTTGAGATGTAAAAGAAAATGGGAACCAGAGCACAGAGAATAACTTATTACCATATACATATTCTCTGGCTCTCCAGGTTTATATAGAATTCAAGTGCTGGGCCGTGTTTTGTTTGCCGAGTTACCTGTACGTATAGTAGAATACAGTGTGTGTATATGTATATAGTCTTTTCATCCAAACTTCCAGTTTTCAAAAACTGCTATTTAATCATTCCTTTGGTGTCCAGCAGCATCTTGGTTGTCAGCAGGGGATTTAGGATTACAAATATTTGGCTTGTGTCACCAAATGGAATTGCCATGGTTTCTGTCCATTTTTGTATGTTATGTTTATTGAAGAAAACTGGTAACTCTGAATAGGATGACAGCATTTTTCATACTACTTTGACAGTTTTGAGATATTTTCTTAAACCTACAGATTTGTAATAAAGTTTCTTTTTAAAAAAACACCTGTATGCTTTCCTTCATTTTAAGTGTCAATTAGATTTGTTTTCTGAGCCACTGGAAATGTCTGTTACTCTCAAGTATGTAATTTGTAAGAGGAAAAGTGAACCTCTTCATAGTGTTAATGGCCTGTAAAATATGTTATCCTCCATTGGATATTCATTTTAACTGTCCCTTGCTTGCTTGCTTAGTAATTTCTAAGGTGTGGAAGTTAATGTGTCTGTCATCCAGTTGGCAACATTTTTCTCAGCTCAGTTTGTCCCCTGGTGTATCAAAAGTAACGTTATGATAGTCCACCATAGTTAAGAATTATTCCTGGTTTGTGTCTTGAAATTTGATGTAGTTGAAAATTTTCAGTAGTTGTTTACTGTAATACACAAAAAAGCTGAGCCAAGATCTGTTACTTTGTTCCTTCTTCGTTTCAATACACAAATATCCAGTATTGGCTGATTAACTGTTAAATGTGGTATCGCTAATTACAACAAGTAGGTGAGATACATGATTTCCCTGATAAAATTATTGCCTGAGTGGGATGATACCTAATGCTTGTCATGCAGTAGAAAAGATGACCATTGTTGGTGCGAAACCAGCTGAGTCCCATCTTTCTGCTCTTCAGTGACAGAAGAAGCTATAAAAATGGGTCAGTCAGCCTTGCTTCAGCAGGATGGTAATTCAGGTATGCTGGGAATTTTTATCTTTGATAAACATGGTGAAATGGAAACTTAATTCCCCCTTTTCCCCACCAGATAGCTATTCTTTTGTGGTCTGGGCTGCACGGGTGGGCCACCACTGCCTTTAGGAGCAAGGGGCTGGTGCCAAACCGAATGCTGGGTAAAGCACAGTGGTTTTGGTATTCAGGCTTGGAAGAAACAGTGGTAACAGGTAAACGGTGTGTTTGGAAAGGCTGTACATGTATTTCATCATCTTGCCAGCAGGGACCTCCCTTAGCCTGTGCTTTGTGAACATCAGGTGTCTGTTTTTTAAGGGACTGAGGAGTGTGTGTTGGGGGTATGTTTGTTTTTTTGTCCTTCGGGTTTCTTTGTTCCCTCTCCTAGCCGTGCTTTGATACCAACTGGCAAGCCACATCTCTCTGAGCTAGTTGATTGAGAATGGATGCCTGTCCACAAGCAGATGAGCAGCTTTCTTCCAGACCCAAGATCTGATTACCTCCATAACATTGTCCTTTGGGGGAAAATGAGAAGTGCTTGTCACTGCAAAGCTCTGAACAAAAAGCAGGTATTACAAGCATTGAAATAATTAATTAACTGAAAGTCAGTCCTGCTTGGATAGAGCTGGATGTTGACTGTGACATGAGAATGCCTAGAAAACGGAGGTAGGAATCAGACTGGAAGGCTTAATAGATCCACATAATAATTTCAAACAAATACAGGATTCTAACATTTTTTTGACTCAGCAACTTTATCCTACATAGTAACTTTTTTCTGGAGAGGCGAAGCACCTTAAAACCAAATAAATTTAGTATTTGGAGAAAAACTCAATTATATTAGAATGCGTCATTTGTTCTCTTGATGGTGTGAGGTTGCTGCTGCTGTTGATAACCTAATGCTTGCCCAATATTCATGTCACAAACCTGTCCTTTCTGATAGACTGAACCATATTCAGGTTACTCTTCCTTTTTGCCATTACTTTTTTAGTTCGTGTTTTCTTGTAACTGCTATGGTGGTTAATTTTTCTGTAAGATTATGTGTTAAGATTGACCTCTTGTAACTCCCTTTTGCTGTAACTAGGCTAACTGAAAAAAATAAAACCCAAACCCAGAAAAAATCTTTATTTGTAAGTCAACCGTCTTCCTAGCTGATTACACTGGTATGAAAAGGGATGGATGTTACTGTAGTTTTTGTTTGTTTGCTTTGAAAATCCATGCTCTTTCCCACTATTTTGGCTGTTACTGAGAGTTACAAAAGCAGCAGTTACCTTTTATGCTCAGGAATTTGCTTTTGTTTTTAGAGGAGAATCTCTTGGTCACAGCAGTTCCTTAGCATATCCTTTATTTTCCCCTCAAAATGAATTTTTGGCCATTTTTATCTTTTTTTATGCTTATTATTTTGTTCTAGATGATGGTGAAATTCATATGCTCTGCCAAATTCAATGAGAAAGGAAGAACCAGGTACACCTGGGGCAAGGACCAGTCTGCTGTAATATTACTCAATTTCTCAAAACTCCTTCATGTGAAGGCAAACAAATATAGTGAGCAGCTGTGTGTTTGCTCCCCAGTCACAGCCGCCTGCATCAGCCATGCAGTTAGTGTGCCCCTCAGTCGGAGCTGACAAGGCATGTGCTAAGTGAACCTGACATCACAAGGTTTGTAAAATGAACCAGGTTATTTCTAATAGCTATCAACAGAGGTTTTGCAATGGGAAATATGCCTCCTATTCCTCCTTTTATTTGTCTCCCTGATTCAATTATTTAGCTCTTAAAAAGGTTTTATAATGCAAGGAGCTGACACATCTGAGATTGTTAATAGAAAAGGTTTGTTTCTGAGTTGCTGTGTTGTGCTGAAGAAAATGAACAAACCTAGGAAAAAGCCACTGGGGTTCTGTTTGCTTGCTTTCTTCCAGTTCAGGTCTTTGGGAGTTATCTGCACATCTTCAGTATGTGTCAGAAAATTCTGAGAGATTAATTTTATACAAAGACTAATGCAAAAAAATAATGCTTGGAAAGATAACAGTGGTAGGATGCTGTGAACAGAAGTAAGACTAGTACTAGGGAAAGAAAAGAGATGAAGAAGGGATGCTGGAGAAAGGAAGAAAACAGGAAGAAAACCACAAGAATAATGATAAAGGGGATAAATACCAAGTGTGATGTTGAAGAAGAAAAGAATTGTCAGTAACAACGTTAGCATTGTAGGTCTGTCCAGGTGGAATAGTTAGTGTGCAGTCACCTGTCAAAAAAGTACAATATTGATTACTTTTCCTGTTTTCAAAACTGAATCTCCTTTGTAGTTTTTCCTGCTCTAATGGAAAGGTGGGGTCTTAAAAACCACAGCAGGTGGGCAATCTAATATTCCTTTATTACATTATTATTGTTTTTATTTATATCCCTCCATTCCCCTCCTCCATTTTGCTGGCTAGCGGAGGCATCAGGGAACTGTTTCACAAGGGAGGTGAGGCAGTTTCAGGTGTTGCATGCCCTTGCCCTGCACAGGTCTTGTATATGCCAGAGGTGAGATGTGAAAGCAGAGTCCTACAGAGTTGATGCTTGTATTGCATGTTGATCTGAAATGAGCACAGCAGACAGCTGCGTGCTCCTGGATTTGATAACTAGTTAGGTATTGAGGGAAGGGACCTGCTTGATACCTGCCTGTTTTTACTCAAGGAAAACAAACCCCTGCTCATTCTGTAATAGCAGTCAGTAAAAGTATGAATCTACAATCTTGCATTTGACTTCAGATTTTTTATATGAAAATGTATTTATGCAAAATTAAAATTTCTGTGTGATTAATATATTCTGCTACTACTGGGATTAATATCCAACCCTTGATATAACGTGCTCATACATCCATGGTAGTTTATTCATATATGTGGAGTAGGCATAGTGACCAACTGCATGTTTGTCCCTGTAATAACGAAGTCCTATGTCTTTGACACTTCCCCCAGTTTATGTCCCTTCATCCAAGGAAACCTTAAAAAAGTAAACGCACCTTGATATTCTGTGTTGCAGTGGTGGCAATTATTTATTCTGTGCTTTGGGCTATGCAAACTCCATTTTAATTTTGCAGTGAGCTTATATCAATATTATTTTTGTTGTTGTGCTCATCATTTTTGGTGACAGCTGTTTAAAGAAGTTGTAACTTTAACAAGCCATCTGTTAACCTTACTCATTTCCTGGTCTCTCGTTGTAGACCAGTCATCCGATCTCCTGTCAATAGGAGGATATTGAAACACACAGGAAAATACATGCACACTTTTATCTTACCCTGCAATATAGCCACAGTGTCGTACTTCAGTGCAGCAACTTGTAATTAGCCAGTGATGTCAGGAGGTTTTATTTTCCATTAAAAATTTTCTATAGTGCATGAACTCTTGTATTCAACATGAGAGTTTCCTCAAATCAAGTAGGAAGGCTGGGCACAAGTTTGCCACCCTGATTAGTGAAGATCTTGATTTCATGAGTTAAGAGAGTAGAAAGGAAGGAGAAACACTTCATCTTAGGTGAGAACAAACAAACCTGCAAAATAACTCAAATTTTGTCACTTGGTATGAGGCCACTAGAATGGCTGAATGGAAGGAGGAGAAATAGTGAATAGAAAAGGCTGGAGTAATGGGAAAAGGAAAAATGAATACTGAAAATGTGGAGAAGCAAGAAAGGACTCCAGTTTTGTGAGCTCTTTAGGCAGAAGATGTTTTTGAGGTGATGAAGACACACGTGATATTGCCTGTGAGCTGGCAAATCATGTTAAGCCCAAGGAAAGTCTTTCATGAACCTGAAAGTATTGGCACTGTGCAGTGGGCAAAGTGAGAAAATCCCAACCCCAAATGGAGGGAAGATTTGTGCTTTTTCTCCTCTTGGAGAGGTTTGGCAACTCTTGTAAGAAACTGGGAGATAGACGCAGAAGACACTGTAATGGAGTTGCTCTGGAGTTGCCCAAGCTGATTCTTGCATGGTGCGTGTGTTTACAGATACAAGAGACAAACCCAGCAGGAGCAGTGAGGTGTAGAGCCAAGAGACAAACTTCTTGCAGTGTTCCTGCTTCTTCAACCTTTCTGGATGCCAGAGCAGGTGGGCAAGGCATCTTGCCCACATCCAGCACTGTGTTGTTGCAGCATCTGTGTATGTCTTGGAGCCCATCCAGCTCACTACCCGCTTGACCAGTGCTCTCAACTATCAAAGGATGAGAATCAGATCTTTTATTACAATGTTAGCACTAATTTTCACCAACAGGTCTGGAGCAAACCCTCAAGTTGGAAAATGCTGAAAAGATGTTGAAAATAATCACGGTGCTACTCCACAGCTGTCTTCTTTTGTATTACAAGAGGTCTGCATATGGCAGTACCCTCTGTGTGGTGCTTACATTTGGTCTACACTATAGAGGTCCAGGGTGCTGGTTTGGAAGAATCTGCTGGATGCAACATAGCACAATGTGGTTGCCTTTATAGGAAAAGGAACTGCTGTCATGATTTAATTACCAGTCATTCTGCTGATTCCGGAGTTTACTTAGACTTGAAAGAAATAAACTTAATTAAATTAAACAAAGCTTTTTCCTTCCCACACATGCTCTAGGTCCTTTGTCTTCTTCCGAGAGACAACAAAAAGCTTATGAATAACAGGTGCAGTCTTTTTGTTGTTGTTGGCCTGTTGCAGAAGGCTATCAGGAGAAAGAATATGCACAGGTGCAGTGTGTGCAAGGCATCAGAGGAAGAGGATATACGGGGGTTTGAAATCTGTTTGTTTGTTTTTTAATTTAAGTTTATGTGTTAGGTTGGCACGAGGATAAAAATCATCAAGGCTTCAGTGTTGCCTGTTGCAGGTCAAGTTAATTTGACAAAAAGTGGTTGAGTTGAAACCTTCTCAAAACAAAGGAAAGATGTAAAATAGGTTTGAATTCAGTTCTCAGCTTATCCAAAGGTGTTTTGAATTTAACTGCTTTAAGCTGTGTAATTGCTTGGTGCCTTGTGATGAGATTCAGCAGCAGATATGGATTGTTTTCCAACAGCCAGAAGTGGCTATTTGTTCAGTTGCAGTGCTCACTCTCTGTGGTTTTGAGAGTGTAGTCACAAATTTAAAGTGGTTTCTTCGTCCAGCCACAGATGGAGAGCATTGTGTAAAAGCACATCCTTGTTGCAAAGTGGGCTTTCTGTCTCCGCTCAAATGGAGCTGTTCCTGACAGCAACTTAGGCCTGCCCTCTCCTAACAGTGTTTCTTCATTTCTAGTCTTGTTCATGTGCTGGAGAGGTTTGTGGAGGGAGATGCAATCACAGGACAGACGGTTCCCTTATGTTCTACTACATACACTTAACGTCATGTGTTCGTCGTTTCCAAATGACACAGCATGTGTCTATGCTATCATTTGTATCATTTATAGTGTGCTAGGGCAAATTTGCCAGCAAATCTCTGATAAGTACTTTTACTGTATGATTTTTTTCAGATGAATTTGTACCTGCCTATCAGGAAATTCATTCTGGGCTGTATTCACTTAATTGTACTGATAGCGGAAGAGAAAGTGGGTGAGATGAAAAAGATTAATAAAAGCAAGAAATATAAAATCTGTTCATTCCCCTTTGTTCTCTGGAGCAGTTCTCCCATTACTTGAAAACAAAGTTGATGAAGCACAATTTGTTCGTGCCTAAAAACTGATTTAAAAATAAGCAAATATTTTGTCCAGTTAGTTTGCCAGGTGTTAGAATTCGTTTGACTGATGCAGAATGAACTTTTTTCCTATCTTTCTAAGAATTATTACTCTCTTTCCCCATTCCTAGCTGTTTTCCATTTAATTCCTAAAAGCACTGTGAACAGATGGGAGGGTGTAGTGTTAATTCACTAAATACACTGTTGTGAATTGTACAAAGCTCTGCATGCACAAACACATCTTTGTTAAATCTTCATTAACCTGTCCTGGTCTACTCTTGCATCCTCTTGTCACTACTCAGGTATATGTCTGCTCACAGTTTACCACCCTGACTTTTTATCCATTATCCTGGTTACTGTTCAGCTGATGCTTTTAGCATTGAATAGTCTGTATTTCTCTGAAACAAAAGTTTGTACCAGGCATTACTAAAAGCAAAGCCCTCTAATCAGGCAGATGAAACTCATTAGCGTTACATTTCAAGGAGCCTTTCTTTGATGCAAACTAATTAATTTTGCCCCATTGCAAAATTGTCCTAACTATAATGGGAGCTAGAATCTAATAAGATGAAAGAAACTCAGAGGGGAAAAAACATCTGTCATGAGAACACAGTGAGATGAACAGCTTTTGCCAGTCTTGGAAATGATGATAGGTTTTACAGCTCTGAGGCTGAACATTCTGCAGTTGCTGATGTGTTTAAAGTCTCTGCTGTGAATTGATGGGTTTGCATTACTTGCTGGTTTTCATCCTTACAGCAGAAAGTAACTGTGATTTAATTTACTTTGTTCATGCTGGCCAGTGTTAGTGCCTAGACCAGAATCTGCCCTCAGTAGTCTGTTTTGCTGTGTGAACACCAGGATTTCAGTGGATAGGGGAGTGTCTAAAGTTTGCAGTCTGAGAATGGTCCTGCAAACTCTTTTCTCTTTGAAACACTGACGGAACATAACAGATCAGCTAGGAATGAAAAATCTGTCCGTATCCTCTGTTTCAGAAAAGCTGACATTTACAGCAAGGAGGTGAAATGGATACAAAAAACCTGCTGTAAACAGGCAGACCAAATGTCTTCTGTGATTGTTTGGACCTTAGAGTCAGTTCTTGATCTCCCTTGGCCTTGCTATTTTTAAGGTGTGTGAAGTATACTGAAGGCAGTCTTTCTGTTTCTTACATTCACCCAATCTAATGTTGGATAAATTCTAAATGAGTATGATAGAGCCTAGTTACTGGTGAATGAATGTCAGAAGTGCCTGAAGAGCTCTTATTCTCTTTTCTAAGTGGATCAAAGTCTGCTGAATTGCTGTGCTTACCCATATCATAAGCTGTGCTTACCCATATCATTAGCAACTACAAAGCTTTCTCCTTTGTTAGCTTGTTCCACCTCACTTTGAATACAAAATATGCTACTGTTATATTAATTAGGCCAACAGGCTGAGGTTAACAAACACTCAGTCATGTCTCTTATCAGCAGGCTTCTTTGTGCATTTGACTGTTTTGCTTTGTGTTTGCCTGTGATGTGAAAGAACTGGATAATTATTGACGTTTTTAAATAGACATGGTAATGTAGTAGGAATAGAGCTAGCAGGGTGCTTCCTCAGTGAATGGAGTCCACTCCTACAACACTTCCTGCTGGTTGGACAAGTGTAAGGATCTGGTCAGAAGTAATCCCTGACTTTGGATCCTGTATTGCTCTCAGTGCTAAGAGTGGGTGTTTCCAGTGCTGGTGGCTGAGGTTGCCTATGGCTCTCAGACACTGTTCTTTTTTGAATGCTTTGTGTTTCATATTCAGGTTAAGCATTTTGCAACCTGTACTCTGAGCTCTCTGCAGCTCACAGCAATACCAGAGCATAGCAATGCCAGAGCCCTCAGCACTAAGCAGCTTCTCAGCCTCTGTCCCCTGGCCGAGGCTTTGGGGCTGATAGCCAGGATTGGTGTGCTGCAGCTATGTAACCTCAGCTCAGTCTGCTGTGTGAGCCGCTGGGAGCCTCCTCTTCACCTTGCTTGGGCTATACAACATGTGGGCTGTGCCTGGGCAGTTTCCCTGCTGATGCCAGTTTGCCAAATTGACTTCCCAGCTTGACCTCAGACCTGCTTGCCACTATGGACTTGTCTGGAGATGTGTTAGCTGCACCTGGGTGCCATACCTGGGCCTGCCCTGCTCCCTTTGCTCGGGCACTGTGCCACTGCCCACCTGCCTGGCTGTCACCTTCCCACCAGCAACTGTTAGCAGGGTGGCAAAATCCTGCAGGAGGGGACATGGATGTGTGACCCATCAGCTTTACCATTGGGGTAGTTGTTGAACCATCCTGCCAGGAGGGCAGAATTGGTGTGTGAGCCTGGACCCAATAGTACTGCAGATTTAATTGGAGGTGGCTTGGCCAGTACTGAGCAGATAAGGAAAAAAAGGTTGTCATTGGTATTTCTGTACCAGTAAGTCCAGAGAAGTTGGAGCAAAGAGCTCTTGCAGGACCTTGGTTCCCAGGCAGGCAACAGTTTTGTTTGAAATGTAGGTGATACTGTATTTGTGTTACCATATTCAGTGGTGAAAACAAATCAGAGCATGGTTTCTCCCTTGCCCAGCAGCTTCTTGGCTAAGCTTTTGTAAAATACTTGCAAAGGTTGTTAGGAAAAACTCCACCTTGCTTGCTCAGAGCAGCAGGTAACTCGTGTCACTCATGATTTTACGTAGCTTTTATGAAAGAAAAAATGTTACCTCCCTCAGATGAAAGGGCTAATATTATTTCTTTAAGCAGCCCAAATCAAATATACAAACAGTGAATGGTCTGTTGGCTAAATGTGCTTCAGTAGATTCACACAGCATCTCTGCCTTTTCAAAATAAACGTGCTTAAAAGCTATTGATATTACAGCTGCCTGAGTCACGCTGAGTGGGTAATTTGCCTGATTGGTTCTTGCACTCTTAATTGGAAATATATATTTGTGGTTTCAATAATTGCATCATTTAAATTCCCCTTTTTGTTGCTTATTAACTGCTTATCAATCATATGCTTTATAACCTAACAACTCCTCAGTAACACAGACAGTTAACAGATTGTTAAACCACCCTCACCTGGATGAGGTCCCCTTCCCAGTAGCTGACTTACTGCACTGAGGGTTCCAGATGTTTCTTGATGGTTGCCCTGAGAACACTGCATGACACTGTGGTAGCGTCACTCTGTTGAAAGGTTGGGTGTATTGCCCTGGGAAGTGTTTGTTGGAAGAACAGTGCGTAACAGAAGGGAGCAAATAGAATAATTCCCTTGTTGAAAGCTGGTGACTTCAGATTCATACTTTTTTAGAAAATCTGAAAAGCTTTTGGATTTTAAGCCATTTAACTCCCAGCATTTAGGTAAATGACCTACATCACAGTGATAGGGTATCTCCTTTAAGTGAGAGAAGCCAAAGGTTTGGGAGAATGAAGATGAGAAAGTGAATGGAAATGAGTGCTGTTGCTGAGGTGTTATGATCAATGCTTTCTAAATATTAAAAATCAGTAGAAGAAAATTAGTCAGATATTCAAAGCAGCAGTTTTTCCGGCATCTGTATGTGAGGGCAGCCATAAAATACAAGCAGAATGTGGGGAAGATCTGTAGAACTTATACTGGAAATAAACCGTTTTAGAGGGCCGCATGTTGTTCTTCTTCACTCTTCCCTGCAGCTTCCATAGTGCTTGCCTAAGTGCCATGAGATTCTTAAAGGCAGAACTCATCTGCAGCAGTTAATTAACAGAAAGGCAGAAGGCTATGATTAGAATTTGCAGTAGTCTAGTCTGGAGAAGGTAATTATGAGTAGAGCAGACTTAGTATTAAGTAGTATTAAACCTGTTTTGTTCAGGGATTTAACACTCCATATCTTTTTCTGGGAAAGCTTGTGTGGCCACATTGCCTCAAGCAAATGCTCCTGGTTGGAAAGGCAGATGGCTGGGCCAAATAAAGTCCAAAGGATGGCCAAGAGGTTTATATCCCAGAAGTTATGATGTGAAATCACCTCATTGGAGATGAGAGCACTTTCTCCTACCAGAGAGAAGGGGTAATTCTCACTGATGACCTTGGTGGGATTGGGAAGCCTTTAGGACTGGCTGATTCTCTTTTTCAGTCTTGCTGCGTTCAGGTAGATAATCTTACCTTTCAGCAGAAGATTAATACCCCTCAGGATCATTCCTGACCTGCCTTTCCATGGTTCTGGCCTCATCAGTTGTTGCCAGTTGAACAAAATCACCCCCTGTACTTCTCTCACAGTGCTGGAGCACTTGGGACTCCCTGTACTACACTGGTTTTACTTTTTGCTGTATTTCTCCCTCCCCGTCCCAGACCAGCTTCCTCAAAGTGATGGTGGATACAAGACTTGTGCTGTGTCTGGAAAGATAGGTCAGGTTAGTTGAGTCCCTACATATTTTACCGATGACCCACAGAAGGCAAACTTTTTCAGAGTGGGAGTAGCAAAGGTTTGTGTTTCACAGACAGTGAAAAATGAGTCCCATTACTGTGTGGCTCTCTAGGGAGGGGATGATCTGGAGGTGTGACACTTTGGTTTTAACACTTTCTAGCCTAAAAGTTTCCAGAGCATTTATCTGCGAGTGTGTACCCACAAGCGTCAGCACCACTGTCAGGCTGCGAACTCTTCTGTCAAGTTCCTGCTTTGAAGAACAAAACAGAACCCCCCCCAAAAAACCTAGAGGAGTCATTTCTGAGTTAGCATCTGGAATAAAGGAATAACGTTGTGGCTTCTTTTGGAGTTGCTTGACATTCCCGGAGCTACTCCAGGAGGGGGCCCAGAAAACATGGGACACCCCTCTCTCACTCGGGTCCTGAGGCTGCTGAAAAGAGGAGGACTCATTTAACAAGGAATTATGAGGGAGTAATGCGACTGAAAGCCAGCTCTTGTGGCCTTCATGGTGAGTGCTATCACAGTTGCCCTGTGCCAGTGCAACAGGTTCTGTGGCAGCTGCACGTGGCAAAGTGCTGTCTTGCAAAACGTGTGACGAGCTTGACCCACTTTTGAGCAAGGCCAGACCTGTATTTGATCCTCAGGTGCTGATTATCTCTCTGGAGGGCTTTGTATGAGAGGCTGTATGTGAGAAATCTCCTGTGGGCTTAAAAATCCCCACTGTATTGCCTTATCTCATGAGATAGAGAGGCCTCTTTCTCTGTGGTATTGTTAGGTCCCAGGTTGTTTCTGTCCTTCAGAACTCCTTCCATCTCAGGGTCTGTGTAGACTTCTGATGTCCCACAGAGAACTTCTGGCATCTTTGCCTCAGTGCTTTTGCAAACCAAGTCTGTGGCAGTTCTGGGCCAGTCTTTGCTTGTGCTGCCTCCTTCCAAGTTGAGCAGAGTAGCACCTGTGCACACTGCTGTCCTGTTTGCATTGCACTCCATGCCCGACTGCTAGTAGTTCTGCTGTGCTGTATTGCTCTCTTCTGTGTGAGAGCCCCAAGTTGCTGTTCTTAGATGGTAGGATAGACTGCCAGCTTTGGGGAGATGGCAGCAGTATCCTGCTGTGAAAACCCTAAGCAGCAGCTGTGCTCATGACAGAGTGACGGTTTTCTGAAACCCTGCAAACCTAAATCTCTGATCTAGATGAAGATGAAACAGTTCTATAAAGCCATCTGCAGATTCACAGGAGGCGGAGACCCTCCACAGAGAGCAGCAGAGCAGGCTTCAGCAAGCATCCAGTGGAAACTGTCTGTAATTGAGTCAGTTCATGCATTGTGGTTCTGCTCTTTTAGACTACAGGGCATTGGCTATGGTGAACAAGCACTTCTTACTAATCCAGAGAATCTGCTCCCCCAAATTCTGGGCACCCTGGTTATCTGTTTATGTAACTAATTAATTTTATACTAGGTTAAATTTCCTTGGCCGTTCCTGTACTGCTCACATTGTATCAGCAGTTACAGACCAAGCTGACCACAGGCTCTGCAGTGTTAGGTATGAGGGGAGGGATGACCAGTGTTCCAGAAAGCTCCTGCTTAAATTTGATGTGACAGGGCAAGGAAGGGAGGCAGGGACACTCCTGTCTGTTTATCAAACTGGGGCCTCAGAGGTAGGAAGTGCCCTTAAATCTAGCATAGCTGGCAGCTCGGTTTATATCCCCTTCATGACTCTTGTGTGCCATGAAGCTCATGTGCTTCTGCTAAGCTTAGCCTCAGTGTGGCCCCTTGCACTGTCCTGTGCGCTTCCCTGTGCTTCGTGTTTTCAGGTACCTGCAGATGCTAACAGAGCCACTGCTTCTATTGTCTCCTGGGGAGAGGCATCAGAATGGGTTGTCAGAAGCACCTGGCTGACTGACGCTTCTTTGAGCATTTTTACACCTTTGGGCTGTAGGGGAAGATGTCCATGTCCTTAACACTAGAATAACCAGTACCTGTACACCAAGAATAAACTGGCTTTCCTAATGTACCTTGTGAAAGGTTATAGCTTTGAAAGCATGGAAGGAGCAGATTTGAGTAAAAGTAAAAAACCAGAATAATCCTCCATTCACAGTTCAAGTGACCTCAACTGATGAACGCAACTGGTGCCTGAGGAAATGTCAGCCAGAATTGTATCTTGTGTTTCCTTTCAAATTTTATCAAGGATGAGCACGACATTTTGACAGAGAAGAAAGCACAGGAGTTTCAACCTGGCTGCTCTCAGGATGTGCTAAGCAGGAAGCACTGGAAAACCAGCCCGAGTCCAGACTTCTGAAAAACGATGCTTATCTGCAGTAGAAGAGCATCTAGAGGGCTACCTTAGTCAGTAATTAAAAGAGGATTAAAACCAGAATGGCATGTAAGTTCTTGTTATTGGTGCATTTGAGCTAGGAAAACCTGACAGATCTAGTCATACTGTATCACAAATATTTTACTGTGCTCATGTTTACAGATTCATTATTAATATCAGACTCTCGTATGCTTCAGATTCTGGGTAAGGGCCCCATGAATTGTTTGCTTTTTGAGTCAGTTTGTTTGATGGGGAGATCTGCAAGAAGGAAGTGCAGTGCCTGTTGTCGAGCTAAGACATATAGTGAATAAATACTGCATTTTCCTTATGAAGGGAAAACTGAAGTATCTGTTCATGAAATATATCCCATTAGTAAACTGGAACAAACTGGCTTTTCCAGCTATGTCATCGCTTACAACCATGCTCTTTCAATCCTGTGCTGTGACTGAAGGGCAGAGCTGGCTAATCACCCTCAGTGTTCTTAGAAACAAGATTGTTTGAAGTTCCATCTCATCTAGGAAGATGGAAGACACTGACATCATTGGAGATGTCAGTCAGTACAAGTGTGACTGTGTTCGCCTCAGTTAGATGTTAGCCTGGGTATTGGCCTAATCAGTGTAATTTATCATTTGGGTTACACCAGGGAAGAAGAAATCTAGCTGTAGTCAAGGTTTCAAGATTTTAGGCACTGAAGAGAGAAATACTGCAGATTTTTCAGACACTTGAGTAAATTAAGGTAAAACTAGTCATTGCCTTCTTTGAGCATTTCTGTGAAAGGTAGGTTTGTGAGGAATGTAAAGAAAGATCAGTCTTTGGTTTTGGACAGCCAAAAAATAATCAGTCTCACCTCCCCTGAATGCTTAGAAGCCTCCAAGGGATTATGTTCCTGGGGAACATTTTGGCTTCTGCTGTATATCACAAATTGCCTTAATGTTGCTAAGTCTGACCTGAGAGGAGACAGTGAGGACCAGGCTTCTTGGAGTCTGAAAACCGTGATAGTTTCTAAAATATAGACACCTGTCTAGAGCTATAGAGAAAATAATTATATACAGGATATGCAAATATATGTTTTCCTGCTGGTTGAAATGTAGTTGTTCTTCCTGTACAAGCAAGCGTTTGTAAGAAAAGTAGTATGTTGCAATTTATTTTCACAGCAACAAATGCACTGTTAAGAACTCAGTACGTCTCCCCTCCGTGTTTCTGTTGGAGACTATGCCCTCTAATACGTGCTTTTGTAGCCTCATGGAGCCTGAGCTGCTGATTCCTCATAGATACGTTTGCTTATTTACCCTCTGCTGCAGACCCAGCCCTCGCCACCTCTCATTGACTCAGTTTGCCTTCTTTTTCCCAGGGGCAGAGCACGTATCAATTCACTGAGGAGGAATAGGTGCTGGGAGGAGGCTGTGTGAACACGATGAAGGTAGTCAGGATCCCCCCATCCAAATACTCACTCCTCAGCCCCATCAGGGGCCAATTCATGTTAGCTGCAACACCCACAACGTTACCCACAAAAAGCTAGTCTCCTCTGCCCCCCCACCTCCCCTTAATCTTCCTCATTCAGACGACCAAGGAGGGGTAACTCAAGAGGGAAAGCACCTCTGTGCGGGGTTTTGGGGGGATGCAGAGCTGGTGGGTGGTTGCATCCAAGCATCCCTTTTCTGTGAACAGTGCTTGAACAAACCCTTTCAGCGGGGGTTACTCGGAAGGCCGGGTCGGGCAGGGCAGCTATTCCCCCGCCCGCTGCCTCCCCCCCCGCCCCGCGGAGGGCTGTTAGGGGCGGCCCTCGCCCCCTCCATAAAGCAGGTGCCGGAGCCGTTTCCTGCCGTGCCGGTCCTGGTGCCGTCCCGGCCATGCACTCTGCTCCTCGCCGCCGCGGCTCTCTGGAGGCGGCGCCGTGCCCGCGGGAGGCCGCCGGCCAGGTGAGTTTGGAGGGTAAGGGGAGACCTCTGACCCCGGTGAACTGATAATTGCCGTGAGATGCTGCTCCTCTGGCATCGCTGGAGTGCTCAGTGCCGCGGCGGTTGGGATGGGGCTGATGATGCTGCCGTTTCTGGACAGATCGGGGAAAAGAAAGTGGTAGAATTCAAATGCAAGTAGATGAAATTAAGGTAGAACAAAAGTAACTTCTGGTGCATCATTGTTTAGGAGACAGTGTGATACAGCCCAGAAAAATCCACTATGGGATTATTTCATGTTACAGGGGGAATATATGTAGTACATCAGACAAAAATCAGATGAAATTAGATCTTATATGTTGGGTGCAGTTACCGATACTGTGCAGTTCAGAAAGTCAGCAAAAGCCCTTGTGAAAACAAAAACACCGATGCACTGAAGTTTCACAAGAGATTGTTTAGCCATACCCCTTGGATCTTTGGAAGCCAAATAAACTCTTCAGCATAGCTTTAGGTTTGGTGTCTGAGAACTAAATCTAAGGAGGACCTTTGGTATGGTTGAAAAATTTCCCTGTAATATGACATCTAGACGTTGTTACTCGAGATCATGTCTTCATCCTTCCCTACTAAGAAGTGTGTCAGAAGGACAGTGAGAAAGTAAGCAGCTACTTAGGGAGGGGGATATAAAATGCCTGTTGAGACTTTTTATCAAGTACAGTTAATGGCAATCTGTATCAAATACATTTTTAAAAATATTTTTTGGTCTTCAATTTATAGCTGTAACATAATTTCCCTAAAACAAGTCTGTTTAGATAACTTTAGGTCTTGGCTATCCATTAATATAAAGAATTAAAGCACAAAATATGATGAAATATTTTTGATAATAAAATAATTTGAGCATATTTGATATTTAAATATCAAAAATACCCTCAAATATCTGGGGAGGAGGAGAAAGGGAAGTTAATTGCTATGGGCTCTGAAAGGAGCAATCTTTAACCAGAGAACACCTAGGTATGTATCTAAATAAGGGCTCTAGAGTATCCCTGTGTTTGTGTACTTTCATTAAGACTTGAGCCAGGTTGATGACAAAACAGTTAATTAATTGCATCGTTAATAACAAGCATCAATGCAATATTAATTCCCCCTTCACCCTCCAAAAAGCTCAAATGTGTTACCGTGCAAAAGAAGAGTGTCAGAATTGATTAGAGCTGAGTTACAGATACAGAATAAAATGACAGTGAAGGTGCAGCTGTTGAGGAGAGGAATTGGTTTTGTATTACTGTTTTCCCTTGTCTTGCACCACAATGGTTGCTATGTTAATGCAGACTTGTTTTCAGTTTACTTTTTAATTGGAAGCACAAGCTTATTGTTGGTGTAGGGTCAAAGATTCAAGTGGTGTGCATTTGGTGTTGTAGGCATCTGAATTTCTCTTTTTCAAATTCCTAAGTTAGCGATCATTTTTAGAACTTAATGTAAGAAGAACCCATTGAGTTTTATTTTCTTTATTGTTCTCTTAAACATATTCATAAAAGCTGTCACCTGATCCTAAACATGGTGTTAGTTGAACTAGCAAAATACAAAGAAAGGACATTAGTCTGCGGTGCATGTAGTTTGTCCTGGCTCTGCACCATATGACATTGCATGGCAACTATGCCAAATCTCATAAGCTGATCTTGTCCTAAGTCAGTGATCCTGAATGGGGAATCAAGCCAATATGCTGCGTATAAGCTGTATATATATGAAATAGCCAAACAGGCTATCAACAGGCTCCATTTCTAATGGAGGCTTCTTTGCATCCAGCTGCTTCTACAGCAGTAACATCTTAATGGGATTTGGCTCATACAAATGGCAATCTCTGCACTTGAAAAAACAACCAATATCCTATAGGTAATTGTGGAGTTAATAGCTTTTTCTTTTCTGTTTGGAGCATCCTTTCTCAGTGCCAGTTCCTGGCTCTTGTGATCGTGATCTGACACTCACTGAGCTGTGAGACCTGCAGGCTGTTCAGCAGAAGCTGGATTGGGTCTATTGCATACTTTCAGCAGAGAATTTGATGTGTGGAGTCAATCTGATAGAGATCAGTGGCTTTGCTGGATCAGAAACAGTGTGATGGACTGACACAGTCATCCAGGCTCATTATATAGTGACAGCTCATTCTACGTGGGGACCCAGTCAGAAAGCCTCCACCAGTAGGCTTGGAGCAAGACCTCTGCCATAGGATACCACCTTGGCACTCCAAGAGGTCACATCCAGTAACCTGCTTGAAACCTTTCTTAGAGCAACATCAAATATCTGCCTTGTAATTCACTTGACTTAAACTGAATTCAATTTAATTGTTTTGTTGGGCAGATTACCTTCTTATGGGAACATTTTGGTAAAATCTGGTTTTTGTTTTTAAACTTATCTATTATAGATAAAAATAGTTGTTCAGCATTGTTCATTTTAAAGAGGTTAAATTTGGAGAGACTATAGAAGGGAATCAGTGTAACTGCTGTATTTTGATTGCATTTTGATTCTTGCTCTTTCCATTTTCTGAAAATGTCACCAGATAATCATATCCTGAAAAGCTGTGTCAAACCAAAAAATAATTCCAAATAGCAATAATGTACCTTCATTGTTCTTTTTCTTACTGACTCCTTCAGAAACTTCACCTTTTTTGTTTCTTTTTGCAAGATTTGAATACTTACTTACGAGATACAGCCTCTGCTTCTAAGCTTTGTATTTTTATTTTACTTTGCATTTTTCACATTCTTAATTGGTTCAATATTACTTCTATGTGTGGCCTGGCTACAAGTAGCTAAGAATATGATCTGTGATATCCACTGGTTTCCGCACAGTCAGGACTGTGATCACTAGTAAGGGACAAAACCACAAGGTCCTATAGTGTTGGATGCCTGAAAATTTTAGTGTGTGATTTGGGTGATTTATAAGAGTTTGGTGTGTGAATTAGGGGCCCTGACAGATGGAATAGCTCACTTGTGGCTGATCTTTATAGCCAACAGATTCTGGTCAGCACAACAGTGTAACTCCTTAGGTTTTGTTTCCTTTCTCTGTAAAACGGTGCTTTACAGTTACACAGTGGGAGAAAGGC